GTGCGATTATATAACACCTAAAAGATAACATTATCAAGATATTCAGGAATGTAGATTCTATAAGTAGTAAACAGCCTTGAGCTTTCTGAATGAATCTTATATTTTTATAGAGATTCCGGTGCTATTTAAAACTCTTTAGCACTGAACACACGTATAAATGATATATTAAAATATTTTGACTTATCTTTTTCAATTTTGCAATATAAGTATTATATAGTTCTGTCTTTGTAAAAATGATATCGACATTAAATACCATACTTATTATTTTTATATTTAATATGAATCGAGACACAATACGCACAATTTCAAAATGTATGTTTTGTGTATCATATTATTTTTGGAATTAAAAATATAATTAAATTTTATATAGGTTTAGACATGAAACCAAGTGTGTCGAATTTCAACTTATATCAGACCCACAGTTCCGTGCTGGCAGCCCTGAGCTCCCCTCCTCCCGCTCTGCTACAGGTTGGAGGACACTCTCATGGGATGCTTCCCTCCATTAATCACGTGACCTCTCACATGCAGCAGCAAAATGACGTACTACGAATGAACTATGACAATGACTTAATGCTGAAACAGGAACCACACATTTTTGAACCCTCGCCTCCTAAAGCTGTTCCTGTCGCCGTGAACCCAGATGAAATCAAACAGGAGGAGTTAGAACCAAGGTCAAATGGAATTTCTACGCACAGCGACATCATTCAATTAAAGGCGGCATCTGTAATTGCCGAGGATTCCGAAAGCGATTTTAGCAATCGGAACGTCTGTCCACCAACAGTGAGCGCCAAATAGTTAATGGTTTGAAACATATCTAGTGTTTTTCATGGACGCTTACAGAAAAAGAAATCCAATGCTCGAATCAAGCATAATTTATGACGTAAAATCATATTTCTACAAAGAGACTGGACATTATTCTTATATTGTACTCAAGACTGTTTATAAAACATCAGTTACAGGTTGAAGTAGAACAAACATCACAGAATATTTGTTGGAGAGTTATGACGAGAATTTTTTCATAAAGGGTATATTAAAATGTCATAATATTGATATCAAAAAGTATGCATTTGCATTGCTGAATTTATGTAATATGTGTAGTTTAGAATTTTCCTATAATTTTAATTTCATGCAGGTCATCAAAATGAATCAATTTTGAATCAGATGAAATGAATTCAAAGTGTTAATTTTTAACATGATAATAAAACAAACAAATAAGATGGAGGCATTTATTGCATTATACAGAGATGTTGAACATCTATTCTTAATTTAGAATTTTTAAAAATGATTTTTTACATAATCTTACATGTAATTAAAAAAGTATTACAAAATTGTGAGTTTATAAAACATGTCTCACATGTAGGGTAATTTTATACAGTTTGTAAATAATTAACATTGTATATATATCATGTAGTTTGTGAGTAGATTGAGACGAATCTTGCCAGGGAATACAGTGTTTACAATTTTAGTGTTGGATTGCACATTTCTTGTTCATAAAATGTATATTATATGTAAGAAAAAAACATTCCCAGGAAACGGTTATAAAATTGTTGATGAAAATTGCTTTTCTTGCCAGTAAATAATAAAACAAGGCGACTGTAAAGAATAGGAATTGATGGACCAATCAGATTTATTCATGCACTGATGTTGATTTTTCTTGAATGATTAATTGTTTAAAGTGCCTCTGATTTAATAGACAATCGGCTATTTTCTTGCCAATTATGTATATTTCTTGATTAAAAACATTCCAGTGAAAAGGTTGGTGTTGTTTCACTCATAATAGTCCCAAACTTCAGCCCAAAATATCCTTGACATTTGTTCACATCCAGGTCTTGCTTTTTTTCTCCCTAAAACGTACAGACTATTTCCTCGATATTTTTCACCCGCCAATTTCGAATCTGTGGAGGAAAAAGTTAACCACAGGGGGGCGCTCCTCTTGGGGTTTCATAATTTGCGCTTTGTGAAGGAAAAAGGCAACGACAGAGGGCGCTCCTATTGAAGTGTTATAATGGACATCGTCCTCTTAATGGAACCCAGCGCTCTGTATGATTTACAAAATGGAGGTTCCTTCTGAAATGGAAAAAAATATTGCCATATCCTGACTTTATATACACCAGTATTTTGATGAATGCTTTTTATTTGACCAGCAAGCATCTTTTTAGTTACCAACTTTTCAGTTACGTCAACTTAGCAACTTAAGGATATCCGATCCTCAGCCAGGAAGGATAACTCCAAAAATTAATATTTAATTTGAAATTCATCAAAATGAAGCTTGAAAATTAATTTTTTTTCATGCAACAATTTTCATTTCATTCATATCCAAGGTTTTTGGAAGTTTTAGAAAAGGTCTTATAAAAGCTGACCTTTGTACTCTATAAAAGAAAAAAAAATTAAATAACAGTTTTAGAAAAATAAGATTTTCTTGAATCCAGCCTTAAAGTAGATACCAAAGCTCATAGCATGATATGAAATAAGAAGTGATTTGTGGTGTCTTGCAATGATAGAAAAAGCCTTTTACACTATGTATTATAGAATACATGACGGAAATAAAAGACAAAAAATACCAAATAAGTCTAAAATCATGACAATTTCTCTGAATGCCTGGATACCTATCGTTTTTTAACCTAAAATATATTTGTTGATCAATTTGCAATTAGAAAATGCATTGCTGATATTCCAATTCGCTTTTTCTGCAAAAATATTGAAGATTTGACAATTTTCCCTATACAATATGATTAACTTTAAGGTGTTTCCACCCTCATAATTTTAATGGTTTAAAGTACAAAAACTGCAGTTATTTTCATTTAATATGCATGTAATTTTCCAATCAATGCAAAAAATGCATAGGTCTCCATATTATTTCAGGTGCGAAACATAGATAAACAGAGGTGTATGTCAACATAAAAAAAAATCGCACATTTTTTGTAAACAGTGTTATGAAAAATATGTAAAAACTGGATAAAATGCATAATTCTGATGCTGAATGTTCCTAAATACTTCCTACTTATGAGAAACTTGAATTGTAAATATCAGGGAAACTATTTTACATTAGAAGTACAATAAAGCAAATGCCTGAATGAAGAGACATTAGAAGGAGTTATTGCCCTTGTCAACATTTGTTAAAGATTGAATAATTGATTAAATAAAGAAAATATGCATTTTTTCAAAATTCTTTTACTTTACAATATTTATCATAAAATCTATTATAAGGCGTTTTTCCAAAAGATGCTGTTCTATTAGGTATGAATTTAAACAAATTACAATTTTTGCAAAAACCTATGACATCATAGGAGGGTGGCATTACCTTAATCTTTAACTTTAAAGAAATACTGAGGATAAATTTACATAACTTTGTATATTCAGAGATACTTTAATGAGTACTTTTGATTATATAACTGCTAATTTTATAAACCCTGAGGATCGAACTACCTTAACTTTGTGAATGGTTTTAAGATATTTTAGTTTACTTGTATACCCTAGGAAAGTTGAAACAGAAAAAAAAAACGTGTAAGAAAACTATTTATTGTTAAATTTCAAATGCTTTTGACCTTAAAGTTTAATCACCGCAATTCAAATGAAATTGAAACAAAAAATCATAAAAATTAACAATTTCAGTTCATAGAATATGCAAATATATCCTAATCAGATAAACTGCATGAACGGTCTCTTTGTTTCTTTCGTTGGAAAACAAACCTCCAATGCGGCTATTCTAAATTTTACGGAGTGTGATTGATGATACCAAAAGAGATTCATGCATTATTAGCTCACCTGAGTTGTAAGTTTTAGTACACTTTTTTGAATAATTACCCTTTGTCTAGTGTCCGGGTGTCTGTCTGTTTGTCAATTTACATTTCGACTTTTTCTAAAAAGTCACTTGGTAAGTTTTAGCTACACTTGGCACAAAATAAGCATTTTTTAATCAAGAAGATTTGATATTGTTCAATTGAAGGGTAAAACCTCGGTCATTGAAAATTTTCTCAAGAAGCTCTGAACCTGAAAAGTTGAAACGCATCTCTATGCCCCCTGATAAAGGATAAAATCTGGATTATTCAAATCATGGCCCCTTGCCCTTGGGCTGTTTTTTTTTTTTAATTTACATAAGAATATGTCGGGGGAAAAGTTTTACAAGGGGATAAATGCATATAGGAAAATGTCTTTAAAATCTTCTTGTATAATTTAAGTTTTCGATGACATATTTTCTCCAAATTATTGGGCTAAAATTCTGGATCACATTTAATCAAGTGCATTCATATATGGTAAAAAAAAATCCTCTTTGCTCTAATTGAAAAGCATGGAATGAATATTGATATTTACCCCATAATATTATATTCGAAATTTAGATTTGGAATACCAATGGTTCCTTTAGGCAAGGATGGTGGCTATGGCATGCCATATTCACAAAAATGAGCTAAACATAGTTTCCCAGTTAAACTAGTGTCTTTCCACAAATGTTTTATTAAAATAGAAAATTTGGTGTTATGACTTGTCGATAAAAATTGGTGGAAAGACAGACACTAGGTTTATCGACTGTAAATCGTGAAACTGTTTTTAAAAGATAATCTATGTTTTGCAATCGCAAATGGTTGTTTTCTGTGTTACGGACATACGCAGCGTACCTTACCTACTGATAATTTTCAAGGTATTCTTAATTTAAGATTATAGTGTCATCAGATATTCATATACAAAAAATCAGTATGCATTACCAGGGATTTTTGAAAGATAAAAATTGATGAAAATTTTGGGATGATTCAAAGACAAATATGTAAAACATACTTAACTTTAGTTATATTCTAGATGTTTCTTTTATCCAACATTGTTTTTGAATAAGTGTACAATACCATACGTAGAAATTAAAATATAGCACACAATTCCTTCGGAAATTAGAACTCTTCACTCCATGGAAAAAGACAGAAAAGTTCAAACTACGTTGCGTATTACCTTAAATACAGTTTAAGATTCTGAAACATAGATTATCGCATTAACTATGGTTTACAGATGTAAAAAAATATAGAATAACGTTGTTAAAGTATAGTTTACAACCGATAAACCTAGTTTATCGACTGTGAAATTATGTTTAGCTGTAAACTATAGTTAACGTTGATCTATATTTTACACCTGTAAACCATAGTTAACGAGGTAATCTATGTTTCAGATCCGTAAACTCTCATTTGCGATTGCAAAACAAAGATTATCTGATAAATACGAGGGACGTTCAATAAATAATGTCATTAGCTCGATGACATACAACATAGAAATCAAATGACATTAAGCTAGACTTTCTTTCATTATTGAATCTTTAATGAATTGATAACAGTTTATGTGACCACTTTTCATCAACTAGTTTCATCGTGAGAAGCTGGGAAACAAGGGCTATTCGAGACACTGCATTATAAATGAATGGTAAAGAATCAGTAAACTAGAGTGAAAATAAAAGCTTCATTAAAGCTGCTGTAAAACGTGTAAAAGTCCCAAAGAAATTTTCACTGAAATATGTGAGATTTACATCAACATTTGACTGTTTTATAGACAAATAAGCAAGTGGATTTCAATGATAAAAAATTATATAATGGGCATCAAAAATGGGTACCGTCCTTGCCAACAAAAATTATAACAACTTATGTAATCTTTGCCCAATTCCAACAAATAATATCTGATGATGTATGACTGACTTTAAGACACATAGCAAATTTGATATACATCATATCGGGAGTAGTTATGTTCCCCAAACGAAGTTGGGGAACATATTGTTTTTACTCTGTTTCTTATTATTATTATGTTCCCCAAACGAAGTTTGGGAACATATTGTTTTTACTTTTTCTGAATTTTTTCTTTGTTCTCCGGTACTTTTTTGTCCGCGAGTGTTCTCGTAAACTACTCATCCGATCTAGGTGAAACCTTTTTAGGGTCACTAGGTATGTTATGTAGATGTGCGGAACGAAGGTCATTTTGCGCGCACGTGCGTGCATGTGCGCGCACGTGTAACACGTGAAATGACCAATATAATAGACTTAGCCGTAACTTTTTAAATATTGGATGAAATGCTTTGAAACTCATAATATAAGGATATGATAGTAGTATAGGCATGATGACATGGTCAAAATAGCAAGATCTCACGCGCATGCAGGTGCCCTTCGCTGCGATTGGCTGAAACTAAAAGTCTAAATATCTATTTTGTTTTCTGATAAAATCCTTTGAAATTTTGAACATAGTCTTACATTATGAAGATCTACAGCATGATATATAAGAATAATCATGAACGCACGCACATGCACGTGTGCTGCAATCTGATTGGCTAAAACTTTAAATGCCTACAACTTTCTTGGTTCTCAATAATACAGGGTGAAATTTCAAATATGAATAGATATAATGATTGCCTACATTATACTACTAGCAAAAGTAAATGCATGGACGTGCATGCACATGCGACCGCACAAAATGTATTAAAAGACAGTATACTTGAGTGTTTGATGTTCATGCAGAATTAAGAACTTCTAAATGTCAAGACATGTAACATACTGAAGCATGCAGATCTTTTTACCCTTGACCTTGAAACTTAGGTCAAGGTCACTGATAACCTGAATAAAATGTTGATATTAGCTATTTACCAAAATCACCTTGACCTATGAACTTGAAATCGACCTTAACCTTTGTCCTTGACCCAAGGGTAAAAAGAAACATGAAGTACATGTACATGTATCTAGAAACACCTTTCAGAGTTTATTTCGGTTGACAGGTTAGAAGTTAAAGAGGTGGTGGTTTTTAATGACCTTGACCTTTCCTCCTAATGTCACAATCAATCTTAAGTTCTTGGAATAAGATACAAGATTCAACTCCAACGTTAAATAGGTTAAGAATAAAAATAACCCCCCCCCCCCACACACACACACACACACAAACAAATCAAATTAATGGCAACGTAGAGAATCACTGTTAAACTCAAATAACACCTCGGACCCACATAAAATTTCAGGAAAACTGCAGAGAAGAGCTCGAGGAAAGTGTATTAAAATATTTCATTTGAGTTTCCAAAGTATATAGAAATTATTAATTTATACAGAAAAAATTACAAA